TACTCAACGGAGCGACGTCAGTAGTTAATATCTAAGCATAACCCTTGTGTGAAATATCCTGATTCTTTTAATTTGTTTTCGTTGTGTTCAATACTGCTAGAATAGGCCCACACTGCAACACAAAGCCTGTGTTGCTCTTTTTGGAGCATTAAGAATTCTTTTCGAGTAGGTGCTCCAAGTATTTGAAGCTGTGCCCCTAAAATTTTTAACTCTGCGCCTAAAATTTCGGCAGTGCACCTAAAAATTTACACCTGGTCACACAAGTGCTCCCAAAGCCAAAAATAAACTTTGAGCCCTGACAGTAAGATAGAAGTACCTCTAGAGATAGTCCACAATTTTCGATCAAATTTCCCATAAATTTCCCCTATAGATGAGAGTGTCAGACTGTGGACTAAACAATTTGAGACTGTGCGGGCATTGTTCAGGGTCATTGTGTTGTATTAAGCCAGTTGGCATAAGTGAGATTACCTAGATGGGTATGTACATGTTATTTGTCAGAAATTGGCTTCAAAAGTTGTGTGGGAACAAGGCCACATGACTAGGTCTAAAAGTGACTCTCTTTGTATAATGCTAGGAACAGCTTAAGATTTTTCTCTTGCTTTATTATTAGCTCAACAACAAACTCAGCAGCATCTACAAAACCAGCAACAACTAGTACAGCAAGCAGCAGCACAATTTGGTACAAACCCTCAAGCACATCTRGTGCAGCAAGCAATTGTTCAGCAGTCAATCAACTCAGCACCATGGCAACAAGCACAGCAACAGGCCCAACAGCAGGTAATGATGTTAACATGTGGTAGAGAAATTATCAAGTACTCCTGTATGAAATAAAACCATCATAAATTTTCCTGTTATATTTCCAAGTCTATTACCGGGAAGTTCTGAGGGCAGCCCTTTTTGCAAGCCCTGAGTTATGATTGTGAGATGGGTGGCAACAACTCTTGAGAAACTCTCTCCAACACAGTCCTGTTTACATGTGTCTTTTAGTTAAACAACTGGGTAGTATGAAAAAAATGCTAGTGATCTCTTCACGAACCAAGGACAATTGATCTTTTATATGACTGTAATGTATTTTCAGTAATGTATTTTTGTTCTATGCATCAACTTTAACCCACCCGTAACCACCCGAAAAAAAGCATGTGGGGACAATAGCCTTTCCTACATTGATCCCTCCCTGAAGACTTTTTCGTTCTCCTATTGTTCTATTGTTCTTGAGGACAAATAAACCAATCAGAATTAACTTACTGAGCATGTTTTTAGAAGACTTTAGGGGTCCTAGCAAGACGGTATTTCTTCTTAAAATCGTGTGCTCGTAAAGGGCAGGTTATCATGGCGCGCTGCGGACTAAATGTACAAACTTCAAAGGCCTTGTTTTCATTCCTAACACGGACAAAATTACTGCTTTGGGATTTAACATGGTGGTAACCAGCACGAAAGCCAGTGGCTACTCTGGTTATCACGCACATACATTTCTTTAATTTTCTCCATAGCCATATGCAACACTTATTTCTTTTCCCATTTTTATTTTATAATACTGATGTAAATTTTAAAATTCTGTAAGTATTGCCCAGTATATTGAAATTGAAATTGAAATTGTAAAATGTGCCAAATGCAACACTTTAATTAGAAAAACTGATTAAAATGAAGGCTAAGTTGTGTTAATTTTTGATTTATTACCAGATGCAAGCTCTTCAACAACAACAACAACAACAGCAGCAGCAGCAGCAACAACAACAACAACAACAACAACAACAACAACAGGCCCAAGCTGCTGTCTCCATTCCTATGTACCAACCTCCCCCAGCTGTATTACAGCAGCAACCCAATGAACTGGATATCACAGAACTAGAAACCCTATTACACAAGATTATGGAGTCCTGCACTAAGGATTCTATATCAGTAAGCCATTCAGGGTCTTGTTATAACCTAATCTAGTTTGCTTAAAGTGTGGTGTTAATGGTTATAATAATATACATGAAAAAATTACTTGATTCTGATTGGCTGAGAGCAGTGCAGTTCAAGTGTAACATCAGTGCAAAAAGTGTAACATCAGTGCAAAAAGTGTAACACCAGTGCAAATTACACATTGTAATTCTATATTATGATTGGCTGAAAGAAAATAGGAAATTTTCTAAGCCAATGATATCACATAAAATGATGACAAAAATTTAGTGCAGAAACTTTGAAAAAATTTTTCTCAAATGAGAAAAAATGGCTTCAAGAAAGGTCTTCTGGCATTTCCTCCACGCAAATATTTTTCATGTTTATATTATTAATAAGTAATCATACAATTTTTCTCGTTCAATTTGGAATTAATTTGCACTTGTAAGTTTTTAAAAAAGCTGAAATTGCACTCGCTGAAGTGGCTCATGCAATTTCAGCTTTTTGAAAAACTCACTTTTGCAAATTAACTCCAAATTGAACTTGAAACTCTATGATTACCTATACTAAATATGGGACTTTAGATATTGTGTATGAGTACAATATTGAGTATGACTTTTCAATTCTAGCTTACAGGCTTCACATTATCACATCACATACCCATCTTATCCCATGAGCTACCCTCTCAACCTAAACTAACATGAAGAGCGAAGGCTCTGGAAATGTCACTGGTTTGAAATTTGCAAATCACACTCATACTGAATCTTGTACTTGAAGTCCAATCTAAAGGTCTCTAATGTTTGGATTCAAGCTAGGTATTGTAATACTCTGTAGGTAAGTTTCTTTTTTCAGGACTGATACATTATTTATGTTAAGGTGTGTTATACCTTAAACAATAATAGAGAGTAAACAGTTTGGTAGCAGCATATTGTAGAAAACTGATTGTTAAAACTAATCTGTTATTATTATTGGTTTTACATGGTCACATTAATCAAATACATGTGTATTTTCATTGCTTTTTGTAGAATGGAAAGAATTTCATCTTTACAAATGCAAAGACTCCTTCACAGTGCTATCAGATTTCTCAGTATTTACTCAAGAGGTTTGTAGAATTTATTTTACTTTTGACAAAAAAAATAGCTTGTGTACAGGGCTCGAAAAAAACTTGAATTCCAGCTTGCCTTTCAGACAAGCTGCTCTCAAATTTTGCCTGCCTTGGGCAACTCTTAGTTTACTTTTATTTGATTTAGTTGGCAGATGACATGCCTGGGCCCTTGCCCATCAGGCAAGTGAGAATGAATAGTTTACTGTCTTCTGAATTATTTTAGCATAAACTATATTGATCACTGTTTATTTGTATGGCACACAACTTTAAAACTCTATGAGAAGGCTTGTCTAAGAGATGTGACAGGGATATGATTACTCCAAAAGAGAACATTTTTTAGATAGTTAGCTTTTTTGCTTGATATTTGTTTCACAGGGAATTCCGTCAAATGCACATGCATAAAGATTGTGTAGTTTTATGTTTGCGTAGTGACTGCCTACGAGCTTTGTGCTTTTGACTCTTCTGACTATGTTCAAATATATCATTTAGAGCACTTGGTCCTGGAATGCAGTTTCAACACAAGCTTCATATAGTCTACCTTGTCAATGACATTCTTCATCATTGTCAGAGGAAAGGAGCGCAAGACCTAAAGAAATCCCTTGAGGACATCATAGTGCCTTTGTTCTTTTGCACACAGATTGGAGAGTCTCCAGAAAATCTGCAGAAAGTAACAAAGGTTTTAGGAATCTGGGAAAGTCATAACCTTTTTGAGGCATCCCTCTTACAGGTTTGTTTGACGGTCCGGTATCAAGTTCTTTCAGACTTTCTATTAGACAGTTAGAGACTATGACAAGTATTCTGCGGTGTTATCAGTTTAGCAGATCAGATTTGCACTATTTACATATTTTTACACTCTAAATTAAAATTCATAGCAAGAAAAATGCACAAATGAAAAAAAAATATTACTCAAATATTACCAAATTAAGATGTCATCAGTGACCATGTGGAGCTGCAGTGGCCTCATGGTTAGTGCACCCACCTCAAGGTCGAGCAGTCCCGGTTTGAACCCTTGCTGGACACATTGTGCTTGTGTCCTTGGACAAGACACTTAACCTTCACAGTGCCTCTCTCTACCCAGGTGTATAAATGGGTAGCGGCAAAATTAATGTTGGGGGGTAATCCTGTGGTGGACTAGCATCCGATCCAGGGGGGAGTAGAGTAGAAATACTTCTAGTCGCTTCATGCTACTGAAACCAGAGATAAGTGTTGTCCTGATGGGCCTCTTGGCTCATATGCAGACTTTACCTACATAATTTTACACTGTCTAAATTAAAATACATAGAAAGAGAACACTACCTACAGGAGCATTGTATGGTTATTTATAAGGGTTATTTATTGAAATTTATAGAAAACTCTTATTGACACTGTTGGTGTTAACTTTCCAGGAACTGAAAAACTCTGAAGCTGGTCAGAGTAAAGTTGATGCAGCTCGAGAACAAGTCTTTAACCAAGGTTTGACACGTCAAATGCTCTTTATTAAACTTAATTATATGGCTTAGGTTTATAGTTGATATAATGCACACTCTGATTGACCAATTGTAGGGCACTCTCCTGTAATGTCCATGGGCCAATTACAGGTGGCAAAGCCAAAGCAAAAAGCCATATAATAAACAACTTATTAACCTCGAAAATTCAGTTTTTACGGGAAAATCTCAAACCTTGGCGTTGCCATATTGACCAAGCAATAGCAAGGTCAATATGGCAAGGTTGCGGTTTGAGATTTTTTTTGTTAAGACCTCACCCTGGGATAATAAGTAGTTAGTATTGTTTACCGCATGGTCTGGCATGGGATACTACATAGACAGCATCGTCATCATCATTGTCGTCATCATTATCTTTTATTTTTCACACCGTAAATACTGAACTGGAGTTTTGGCATAGAATGTTAATGCAAATATGTCCACCAGTCTTAGCGTCAACAGATGTTGATGTGTTCCACTGTATCCTCTCCTGAAGGTTATTATATTCCACCAGAACGTTATAAGAAATATTATCAGCAGTCACAGGATAACCAGCCGATACCACAGGCAGACCAGCAACCTCAACAAGGAAGAAAAGGTAGCTCACTGTTTCAAACCCTTTTCCTTGCAAATGTAGGTGCAACAAAAACCAATATTCAGGCTAGCTTGAAAGTCATTCTCACTAGCCCCACAAAATTTCTACCTTTTACAGTACTTCTGTAATCTGGATCTTCTCAAACAAGATACTTGTGAAGGATAGAATCCACTAGAAGAATTGTGAGAGAAAGGTGTTTAGTCCAGGAACACAGCACATTGATTGCGGCCATTGTTAGAACTTAAACTGCTTGATCTGCATTTTAATTGATGTACCCCCATGCATTGATGCTGCTTTATTTATGTGTAATGTCATCTTTAATTTGCTTTCTTCAGATAATTTAGCGCAGCAAAAACTAGAAGAGAGTTCCCAAGAGACAATTGATGAAACAAAGGAACAAGCAAAAGATCCTGTTAAGAAAGAAGTCAAAGAAGAACATGCAGAGCAAATGACAGCAGAAGAAACAGAGAAAAGGGTACACTATTAGTTTGGATTTAAGAAATGGAGAATTTTTTTCTTGTTTCGACAAAGTTATAGAACACGAGTTGAAGTTTTAGTCTTAAAGAGAACAAGAAATGCCATTATACACGAGCTGCAGGGGAAAGTTTCAAGAGTGTTTTTGTAACTCGATAGAAACGCAGAGAAAACGTGTCCTAACAACAAGAAAATAATGCGAGGAAAAGAAAGAAAAATTTGCTTGCACTATCTTTACATCAATAGTTTCTGCTAGTTCTGTGTTTCTATCAAGTTTTAGTAGAATTCTACTAGTATACTAATGCAAATGCTGTAATCTGATTGGCTGAGCCATTGCACACTATCAGCCATTAGTGTACAGTGGCTTGGTGTGGTAGACAAATTTGCAACATTTTCTCGTTTCTTCGAAGTTTTGAAAGAACAGTTAGAAACAAATGAAAAACCAAATCCCTGAAAAGACTAAAAGAAGGACATTCACGGTTTCCTGAATTAAGAAAACTCGAATTTTTTGAAGGCGCGTACACGACTAGAAATGTCAAATTGAAAATTCAGTCCGCACAAATTTTCTAACGCGTGAAGTTCAATACTAAGACTAGAAATAATTGGAATCGAAAGTTAGAATCTTACTTTCGTCCTCATCAACTAATAACCCATAGAAATCTCGAGCTCATAATCTAATTGTTGTATAGAATGGCGGCTTTTGTGCCATGTTTTCTTACAGGGTATTTTGTTAATTTGATTAGTAGTTTGTGTTGTGGAATTCATGGAACAATAAAAAGCAAAATCCCTCTTCATCCCCATGACAACGATTACTACCCCCCCTGATAGACTATTGTTTTATTACATTAGCAGGAGGAGGCACCCATGCAGCAGCAACCATATCCAGCAGCCCCCTATCAGCAGCACCCTCAGTCATTTCCTCCTCCATTTGGTGACCAGCGACCACAGTATTATGGTCACGGCCCTCCGCCATTTGCTCCTCATTTTCCTCCTCCACCATACATGCCAGATTTCAGACACCCACCTCCAGCGATGTATGGCCATGTGCCTCCAAACTTCCATGATGAAGGCTACCATGGAAGGTAAGTGGATATACATTTAGTATCTAGACTGTTTAGATTTTGTTCTTGGTTTACAGTAGAAACCCACTGTATAAATAGAACGACTTCTTTCTTTTAACCCGCAGAACTGAGCAGTCAACGGTGAATCCGTTGCGTTAATGATTCCAAATGTTGCCAACGTTTTCACAAAACTTAACCCTCAAGTGGCATTTGAAACCGTCGCACGGATAAACGAAGAGCTAAAAAGAACGGAATTCGAATGGTGCATTTTGGAAAAAAAAATCAGTCATCTAATCGATAGATTTTCTTCATTTTTTTTCGCTAAACGTAGAAAATCGGCAGAGGAAATGATCCCTCAAAAGAAAAATAGGAGTCACCGAACGTCCAAGATCGTTAAATCCAGGCAAAGCTATAGCAATGGCCATCTGCCCTGTCATTGTTCATTTTTCTTACTTAGCGCGCGCTCGATGCATGACGTGGCGTGTGAATTTGCGTGCGCAGTAAGGATGCACAGAAACTATTAGCGCGAACGGCCTCAACGCAAAGTACCATGATAACAAATTTTCGGGCTTGCAGTTTGGTCACATCTCAACGAAACTCGACGTCATCACAGAACTGCACGTCCTCAGAAAACTCGACGACCTCACAAAACTTGATGTCCTCACAAAACTCAACGTCCATACTAAACCGGATGTCCTCCGAAAATGTGACGTCCATATAAAACTCGATATCCACACTAAACGTGACATCCGCACAAAACTCGATGATCAAGCAAAACTTGACGTCCATAATAAACTCGCCGTCTACAAAAAAAATGGATGTCCAAACAAAACTGCACCTCGCCACAAAAATTGATCTTGACTCAAAACAAAACCCAACGTCCTCTCTAAATGTGACGTTGGTTTTCTTTGGATTTAAATACTGTAATCTCTTTTTAAATTTATTCTTCCTGAAAGGCTCCATTGGGAATACTCAATAAAGTTTGTTTGTTTGTTTTACGGTCTACAACCGTGTACATGAGACTCTAAATTTTTGACTGTAGTGGTGATTGTTCAACTTAGGCCCCGTTCACACTACGCTGGAGAAATTTGGAAAAGGTGTTTTCACTCTGAAAACGCATGAAATGTTTTCCGTCCACACTACGCAGGAGAAATTCGTAAACGCAACAATCACCGGTCATTTTGGATTTGTGTTTGAGGAAAACTCGGGCAGGGAAATCACGTGATTATCGTGACGTCATCGTTTTTGAAAAGCCCGTTTTCAAAATGTTTTCTTTCCACACTAAAACGCAAAGCCGGCGTTTTCAAATTTCTTCGGTTTGAAGAGCATTTTTGAAAAGCTCCGTTTTCGTGACAGATTAGTGTGGACGGCGGGCGTAACCGTAGAAATAAAGTTGCGTTTTCGAATTCCTCCGATGCAGTGTGGACGGGGCCGTAGATGTAACTTTGACTTTGTTATCTCTCTGGCTTTCTTATCCAGACCGCCGCCTCCTCCATTCCGTGGTCCACCTCAACAGTTTGACTACCAGCACCAGAGGCCAGAATTTGAGCAGTATGATGGCAGGGGACCGCCACCAATGGTGAACGACTACAACCACGGCCGATCGCAAGAAGAGGAAGGGTACGGTATGGAGGAATATGACATGCCACCCGAGCCACCCATCCCTGAACCTATCATACCTACAGCCATGTACTATGAGCTCCCTGCTGGCCTTATGGCTCCCTTAGTAGGGGTAAGTGGCACTAAGTCAAGACGCTTGTTTGCGTTAGTTATGGTAATGCATTTTATAGCATACTATCCAGATACTTGTGTTCAAATGATGCACTTAACAACTGAATCGGACGTTGGCTTCTCAAACTCAAAGTCACTGGATATCTGATCTTAATAAACATAGATTTTTACGACTTCATTTCTCCGTGTTCTCTGTGTTCAGAAATGTGGCCAAACACGGTGTTTCGTGTTTGATATACTACTTGTTCAGGGGCCTATGTCAGGTGATATCAGTCCATTCATGATCTCGCCCCGCTCACTCAATGCATATAAAATATGCATAATTGCTAAAAAAAAAAATCACCTGAGGCGCATCTTACCCTACTTGTACGTGCATTTGTTGGCTTTTAAATTTTCTTTCGAATATGCCAGAGTTGTGCACTTCACTGTACTTTAAAATACCGGGGTAAATTTAAAAAGCATCTGTGTACCGAATGAAGTCCATACATGAGTACGAAGGTTAGTGCTTCCCTTACTAAGTTGATGTTACTGTTTGGCCAAGAAATAATCAGACTCGAAGATAAAGAGGTGAAAAAATTTATCAAATAGTCTCTTGAGTCGGTTATTTTGTTCTGTGGTATAGTTGCCGGACGTGGACTACAAACCAATAGATCCGGCTGCTCTTCGTCTTCCCGCACCGCAGCCACCAAGTGAAAGACTTCTGGCTGCAGTTGAAGCGTTTTACAGTCCTCCCAGTCACGAGAGGCCCAGGAATAGGTTGGTGATACCCTGAGCTTTTTATTACAAAGTTTTACCAACATATAATCTCTCCTTACAATATCCATATATTGTTAAGCAGACAAGTGATGAGGGCAAAGAAAGTCATCAACTAAGGCATATTACATTGATTTTCCTTCTAATTCTCCCAGCAAACATTGAAAGAGATGTATAGCTATTGGTAAGGAGAACTGATATCTTTGTATCTAGGGTTAGGATGGAACCCCGGGAGTACGATCTTCTGAAATCGTCGGAAAACACGGACGTTTTCCGAAGATCTCCGTAAAATCTTGAAAAAGCTGCTT